TTCTGTTTACATTTTAATGGTTTTTCGTATTTTTGTTGAATGAATTGATTCACTATGATTGTTTCCGACTATTCGAATGGTCTGATGCGCGTGTTCTTGTGGTTGAATTTAAGTATTAATTTGACGTTATTTTATAGTTCAAATCTGCTGGTGTCTGCCGTTGCTTGCATATGAATTTCTAGGGTTCTAAGGATGAAAATGGAAATATTAACGAGTTTTTGTGCATTTCATTCCAGTTTTGAATGTTCGGAAATTTTTGGACAGCTGAAAAGTGAAAAATTGGGGCAGTAATTTGTTTTTTAAACCCTTGCTCTCTCTAGTTATGTTAATAATTGCGTAGGTATCTCGACTGGGTCCAGAATTTGCATATGTCGTCATGCATCATATGGTATTCTCATAATTGTATCGACATAATTGCATCTGGAAAAAGGAAAAAAAAATGAACACCAGTTCTGGTATTATCTGCATAATTTTATTTTCTTAATTACTTTAGAATTTAAGGCTTCTGTCGAACATCTTTCTGTTGATTCTAAGGCTAATGTTGGTTTTTCAGGATAATATATTTGAATGGCAATTCGCCATCCGCGGACCTGGTGATAGTGAATTTGAGGGTGGGATATACCATGGACGTATCCAATTGCCATCTGAATATCCATTCAAGCCACCTTCGTTCATGTTGTTAACCGTAAGCTAGCAATCTCTTTTCCTCTACTTATTTCCCTTTTTGTTGATTCTCTTCTGTTGTGTTGATGGGCTGATCAATGTCAATTCCTTTCTTTCAGCCCAATGGGCGTTTTGAAACCCAAACAAAGATTTGCTTAAGCATATCGAACCATCATCCCGAGCATTGGCAACCGTCATGGAGTGGTGAGTTCTTTGTATTCTTTATGCATATCGAACCATCATCCCGAGCATTGGCAACCGTCATGGAGTGGTGAGTTCTTTGTATTCTTTATCCAGCTTGTCTTATTACGTTGTTCCGAGTATGTAACAACCAAAATCCACGATATTGTCCTCTTTGAGCCTCTCAAAGTTTTAAAATCCTTTGATAGGGAGGTTTCCAGATCCTTGTGCATGTTTCATTTTCCTCTCCAACCCATGTGGGATCTCACATCGTATATGATTGCTAACTTAAACATAACTCAACTGATTTAGGCCTAAGATTTTCGACTGAAAAGAACATAGTTTGAATTCTCACTCACACATCAACAAGGATGGCCATTGTCTGGTTTCTACTTAAGTTGCTTTAGGTTCCACTTCCACATTCTCTGATCCTTCTTGTTCTTTTCCTCCCTTCCCTTTTTGTTGATTGCTGCTTGTCAGTACGCACTGCCTTGGTTGCATTAATTGCTTTCATGCCCACAAACCCAAATGGCGCTCTTGGTTCCCTGGACTACAAGAAGGAAGAAAGACGGGTATTGGCCATCAAATCTCGAGAAGCAGCCCCCAAATCTAGTACTCCTGAACGTCAAAAGCTAATTGATGAGGTATTTCCATGTTCTGTTGATATTTCATAAGCTGTTGAATAGTATATTGAATTTCGCACGTGTGATGGATGCGATAATATTGTTCATTCATGAGCTTCTTAATCATCACAGATTCATGAATATTTGCTGAGTAAGGTGCCGCCTGCCCCGCAACTGAGTTCTCCAGATGACTCCAAGGAGAAACCCGCTAACAAAGAGGCTGATGTTGAGGTAACTTCTGAAGCCACTGAGCCTGCAGCTACTGGGGAAGAGCAACAGAATCCACCCGTAAGCGACAGGATCGTCGAGGAAGCCATACCAGAGGAGACATCTATAAATGCCAATCTCCAACAAGAAGCAGCAAGAGAGGCGCCATCTGGTCGCCCTGCCCTGCAGTTGAGAACGGAGACGAGAGTCAATAAACCTGCCGATGACCGGTTGTTCACATGGGCTGCAGTGGGGCTCACTCTTGCAATTGTAGTTCTACTGCTGAAGAAGTTCATTAAAGCAAGCGCTCATGGATCAGTGTTCATGGATGAATCTTAAGATCACAGATATGTCCGCCGCTGCTTCTAGACAGCAGACACAAGGGTCCTTCTTATGTGTATTATCATTAGAGTCTTTAGCGTAAATTTGAATTTGGTTATCATTCGACTACGAAAAGGCAATCCTATGTGTTGTGATCCTGCCGCCCTCTTCCATTATTTGTAGCTAAAATAGTAACATATGCAAAAAAAAAAAAGAAAAAAAAATGCTTGGCTTAAGCAGTGTGCCTAAGAACCCTTTAAATATCTTGGCCGTCTATTTTATGTACATGGTGTTACCATATAATTACAATTGGTTTTGAGAACATGATGAAGTGTTCTTTTCTTCCTTTTGGAAGATAATAGTTAGTAGTGCTGTGTTCTCAATTTTTCACCATTAGAGAACTGAGAAAATAATACACATAATTTTCTTTTCTTTTCTTTTTTTTAATTTTCAAAAAAAAAACAATTTATTGTATTTATAAGCTTTACTTTTCTGCTTAATTTTCTTAAAAAGACAAAAAAATATATATATATATAGAAAGAAAATGACGTAGGGGCTGAGAATTGTGTTAGTGATTTTAGGGACAATTTTGGTATTTCACAAGCTCTACCTTTATTTCTTTGCTGGACAAAATGATTTTTATCAGTTTAATTNTAAAAGAGTTATTTGCAAAAAAAAAAAAAAAAAAAAAAAAAAAAAAAGTTTCTTATTTTGGAATTAAAAATTAAGATTATTATATTATCACCAAAATAAGACTAATATATGTTTCACCTCATAAATTTGGAAGTTTTTTTCTTAAAATTTTATAATTTAATCTCGATTTCTAATTCTTCTCATTTTTTTAAAATATTAATTTATTAAATAGTTATTAATTTTTTAAGAATATTAATTTCTTAAAATTTTCTAATTCTTCTCATTTTTTTTTTAAATATTAATTTATTAAATAGTTATTAATTTTTTAAGAATATTAATTTATTAAATAGTTATTAATTTTAAAAGGTAATTACATGACACAATCTATTCATTAATATACTTATATAGGTGCTAAGAATATTAATAAAATTCGAGTTCCTTTTATTATCATACTGTTTTCTCCTTAGTTCTTATTCCAAGAATCTAATCTTTGATCACTTCTAATTTTTCTAGAGGTGTATTTAGGACAGACCTTCTTAGTAGAAATTTAAATTTTCTTTTTTTAAATGTTATTTGAACCCGCTATTCAGTGGTTAGTTTGTACATCAATCGAATATTAATTTGTGCCAACTCGATATCTTAAAATTTACGAGACTTACACATAGGAGGATAGAAATTACGACGCTTGTTTTCAAGTCTTGTCAAGATCATGTGGCATGCAAAATGTTTTAAGAATAGTTTTAGATGATTAATAAAAGCAAAGATCATCCCATGATTAACAAGTCATATACAAACAACAAACAACAAACAAACCATGAAGAAAGAAAAAAAAATATATTGTTATTGAACAGAAAATTGTTTTCAAGAACACTCCCAAACCAGTCTCTAAATCATTATTCATCCTATTACAAACACCCCATGAAGAGGTTCCCATTATTTGACAAACATTTTAATGAACAAAACAGAAACTAAGGCCATCAACATACACATTTCCAATTCACAAAACAAACACATAATCAGAAAATTTGAACGAGGAAATGGAGATTCAAGAGTGTTGTGGGATGGAGCAATCAGTTCTCGTTATCTATTTTCTTCACTACAGTCACTGGGCAGGCACCATTGTTCACCACATAGTTGCTTACGCTCCCCAATATGGCCCTGTCAAAATTGCATACACAAATCTCGTCAAATTCAAACATCGACACAGTCGAACCCACCCGGTTGCAACTTCGAGGTACTTGGAATACCCCCGTTTCTCGACCACTCACTAAACCCACTTATAATTGTCTTCCTTCAACCTTTCCCACTCCCTCTATTCATAACCAAATACCATAATAAACTTTCTAATTATATCTAGATTGACTTAAAATCGTGTTCGGCCCACAAGTACCCACATTATTCAACACCGAAGTTGATGTTGGTATAATGTATTTAATATTCTAATGTAGATGGTTCTTTTCCTTTCAAACTTCCCCGAAAGTTTTTAAAATGCGTATACCGGGAAAGGTTTCCACACCCTTTATAAAACATGTTTCGTTCCCTTCTCCAACCGAGGTGGGATCTCACAACCCACCCTCTTCGGGGCAAGCGTCCTCGCTGGCACTCATTTCCCTCTCCAATCGATGTGGGATCTCACACAAACAACCAAATAAATCCAAAATAAGTAACCACTAAACTAACATTAACAGTAATCTCTAAACTACCAGTAATTAAACTAGACTAATTATCTAACATTTAATCTTACATCATCAGTTATCAAAACATATTTATAATGTATCTCGCACCTATGATTAACAGCCGACCACGGTTGGAATAGTCATCTACATTCAATCTATCTCGTATAAGCTCAAGGGAGCAGACAACTACTTTTCATAACCCAAAAATCTGTAATTTTTAGCAATCAGAATTTCACTTCTATTCATAACATTATAATTATCTTTCCTCTCCAAAAATGGATAAAGCAAGATGCCCATCGGCCTAAGTAAAAGCAAGTATAATAAGAGAAGATCCAAGAACCATTTGATATGTTCGATCCAAAACAGTTTCTGCAAATTGTTCTATAGAGCCAATCTTATAGTTTATAATACTCATCTAATTTCTTAAGAAACACGGTCATTTCGAACACACTGCCATTTTCTAAGAAAGAACAGCTTCCATGATTGTAAAAACCAATTCATCCACAACAATGGAAAAAAGCCAATCATTTCTTGTAAAATCAACCAAAAGCTGATTTAAACAACAAAAAGAGAATTCGCTCTAACCTCTTAATCTTGCCAAGACCTCTGTTTCCGATCACAAGACAGCTAATAGGAATATGATCAATCGCTTCACAAATCTTCTCACGAGCATCTCCCCAATAAATCTTAAGCAACACAGTGATCTGCTCTCATTACCGAAAAAATTCAAATCATCGCGATGAATTCCATAAACACCACAAAAAAACGGTAAACAAAAACACAAAGATAAAACAATCACCTCCTTCTGCGCCGCCGCAGTCGTCACAATGTCAATAGTTTCAGCATCAGGCTTAATCCCGTACTTCTTCAAGGTGTGAGGATCGGCAAACTCAACCATAGGAATAAGCGCTGCAAAACAGAAAACATACCGCCAATCCATCAAGAACATAAAACCAAACCGAAAACGAATTCGACACCGAGTTTGTTCAAACAGTGAACAGAGCAACAACATCAGCAACCACGAAAAAGGTTTGCGGTGCGGTCGAAAAAGTGCATGCGTAATCTCCGGCGATAGAATAAGCGATGAAAGAATATCTTACGAGATCCGGTGGTTCGCCAGAGCTGCATCTCGCCGTCTATAGAATAAGCGATGAAAGAATATCTTACGAGATCCGGTGGTTCGCCAGAGCTGCATCTCGCCGTCTTCATAATCACCGTCAGGACGAACAGTGATGAGAATCAAAAAATCGCCCTTGCGGATAATGTTATCGATAGCCCATTTGAGAGCTTTTCTGCTGCAGGAGGAGAAATCCACCGCCACTCCGACTCTCCGTTCACCGTCCATTTTCTGGTGTTCTCTTACTTTCCGTGGAACTGTGAATGAGAATGAATGTTGGGAGAGCTTATTCTATCAGAGGAATTGGAAGAAGGGGCGCAACGCAATTTCAGGGGCAAAGACCCCACGAGAGGAAATAATTATTGAATGGGAGTGAAGATTGGTATCTAGGATGTATTATCCTCTGCGGACTGGCGTAGGGAAAGATTGTGTTCGCCAAGACACTTGCCTTTTAAAAACGTGTTTATAAATGATTGATTTAAGATGAAAATTTGATGATATTTAATTAATTAAAATGTCCGTGTCTTTATTGAGTTTAATGTCACGATCATTTTTATCTAAGATGAGTTGTCTGTGGTTGCATATCGAATGTCTCAATCATATTTATTTATTCAGAATGATATGATTAATTGTCAATTCTTCCTACTATTAAGATATTAAATTGTCATCCCTAACAAATTTAATAGATTTGAAATATAATTTTAAATAAAAAAAATAACAAAATCATTAATAAGATATTTGAAATCATTTAAAAAGTATTTCATAAAATTGAGAAAATAAAATATTGTTTAAAATACATGCTATTATGATTTGACGGAGGGGACCGGGGAGAGAAATGATGAATTAACGAGAAAGGAACGATCTTGATAATCGAAATCAACGGTGGATGATTGGGGGGGAAATTTAAAGCTGTGGGCTGCGGTGTAGTGGATTATTATCTCCCTCAATATTGTACATAAATGGGTGGTGACAAGGAAGGGGGATGACCTTGGCTCATCTTGTTCAGCCCAGTGAGTGGACTTTTAATAAAGTTATTTTTTGTATTATTTTTCTATTTATATCTTATTCCAATTTATAAATTTTGATTATCTATTATATTGCTAGCATTTGATAATCTATTTAAGTATTTAATTATTGCATAAATTTAAACATGACGTAATAAATAAATATAAAAATAACATTTTGGCTTCTATATGTTTGACTTTGCTTTTATATATTTAATGATTCTATAGTCGATCTCCCTCTCAAATATGAAAATTTTCTCGTTTCAAATTGACTATAGAGTTAATTCTTAAGATTTATCATAATAAAGCAATTAAAATTGGACGTTTGAAAATACATAAATTAAAATAAAATGAGTATAAAGTACCTAAATCAATCCAATATTTTAACTTTAAACAAACCGGGGCAATTTAGACGGATAAATAGTCGTTTATTAATATTAAAAACTCAATCATTACAAATACAAAACAAAGTATATAGTAGCCTAAGAGATCAAAACATTGCCAAATTCAAAATAGTGAGACTAGATATGTGGTACCTTTATGATAATATGGACTCCTCACTTGGCTTCTTGTTGGTGAACTCGAACTGAATTGACTATTTTTTTGAGTTCAACATGTCTACGAAAGGTTATTCAAACCTCTAGATGATGAAATCTAACACATTGAAATGAACTCGACCTTATGCAACAGCCACTGTTAGAAAGATGATGTGATATCATTCACACTTCAGTGCACGAGTAATCTCCCACGAAAGTGGATCATTAACAGAATAGACATTATTTCCACATTTGCTAGTTTGCCTCCTGCAATTCACTATTGCAACCACAAAACTTTCGTTCTCGAGTGATGATGGATACATTACTTGTTCTTCCTACAAAGTTAGAACCAACTCTTAGGAACACTGGCAGTGGATGAATCTAACTAAACATAAGAATTCAGATTAAATAATGATTTTCATGATCAGGTCATCATGTATGCATGATAATAATTTGAAACATATGATCATTACTCTTCAATCGAATTAATATACCACCTTTCGGAAAGAAAAAAAAACTCAAATCTAAAGAATAAATAGCATGATCCTAAGTTGAAGTCAAAGAATATCGTTGTGATAAAGGTCAGAATGTCATTATCATGTGGCATAGAGCATGTCGTTGTGATAAAGGTGAGAATGTCATTATCATGTGGCATGAGCGGCCGTAAGCATCTTTTTTGGCAGCTTTAGAGAAGTATACTAGCAACTTATTCTTTGTTATTAAACAAAAGCTATTTTCACCTGTACTGGTTGTTTTGAAGCATAAGCTTTTTTCTTTAAAGCATTATTTTAAGTTCAGTCTTTACCTCCGGTAGTTCACAGAATTCATCAGGAGATATTTGCAACAACTCTGCAGCAGTTTGACCTGTACACCAAGCAAAGATTTTTGCAGTATCATCTGCAAGGGTGATTTTCAGCTGCAGCAGTTTGACCTGTACACCAAGCAAAGATTTTTGCAGTATCATCTGCAAGGGTGATTTTCAGGTCGAATGTACGAACCAGCTCGGACTTGCATTCACTACGACAGAAGCAGCACTCAATTCTGCCGGGTGTCTCCTCAACAAAATGACCACAATTTGCATGCAAAAATTTCGTACTAACATGACAATGTGCCGGGTGTCTCCTCAACAAAATGACCACAATTTGCATGCAAAAATTTCGTACTAACATGACAATGTGAAACTTGGTCAAGCCGAGCTCGACAGACCTGTCAAGGAGATTTGGAGAAACAAAATAAAAATCACAGCTGATAGAGGTGAGATATTAGAAAAACGAGGGAAGAAAATTCCAAACTTTGAATATATTTTTCGAGATTCAATTTTGGAAGCATAGCTGTGAGGCTAGGTGCGAACAAAATACAAAAATTTCACTAATCACTCTACAAAGATTGCAAAAAGAGAAACCTCATTGATCATTCAGCTCCCTCTCCTAAGGTTTGTTGCTTATGTATTATGTTATAAGAATGAGGAACTCCTAATTGGCTGATCCTAAGCAACAGAGGTATGGAGTTTATTTTGCAGGAGATTTGCTTCACTTGTTCTCCAAGGATATAGATGAATGGCTCCGAGAAATCCTTTCAGCCCGGTAGCTTATTGAGACAGCTACGGTTTTATGGAAATGTACGATTAGAGCTCCCTTGCGGTCCTGATGGATGGATAAAAATCCAAACCTTTAACGTTGAAGAGAAATATATATATATATGTTGTGTTCTTGAATTATTTATGACAAACTGAAATGCCCCATTCAAAAGAGAAATATATATATATATGTTGTGTTCTTGAATTATTTATGACAAACTGAAATGCCCCATTCAAGATATTTGTTATCAGTCTTCTTGATTAAATTCAATATCTGGGCACCTATTTTTTGTGTGTAGAGGTTCTTCAACAAGGACCTTTCTCCCTCTTCCCTCAGCCTCTAGGTTATCTCTTCCANGGATGGATAAAAATCCAAACCTTTAACGTTGAAGAGAAATATATATATATATGTTGTGTTCTTGAATTATTTATGACAAACTGAAATGCCCCATTCAAGATATTTGTTATCAGTCTTCTTGATTAAATTCAATATCTGGGCACCTATTTTTTGTGTGTGTAGAGGTTCTTCAACAAGGACCTTTCTCCCTCTTCCCTCAGCCTCTAGGTTATCTCTTCCATTTTCTTACAGAAAGTTTCTTATCAAACATAACATAATATAGTCCGAAAAAAGGAGAAGGAAAAGAAAAAACTTTACCTTTGTACCATGAGAGTTGCTGGTAAGATCAGAAAGTCGTGAAATTTTATGAAGACAAGATGAGGTTAACAATGCTGGCAAGCAGCTAAGGTTGACAAACGAAGCTCCAACATGATTCTCAATCCATAAAGCCTCCAAGCTTCAAAAGAAAAGAAATCAAATCAAATTAGAAATGCCATGAATAAATCACCAAAATTTTTATAAGGAGAGAAACCTCAAATTGAAGGCAAATTATTTATGTCTGGAAACATTTCAAATGATCCAATACTTCCAATTTATTTACTAGATAACTGGGTAAAGAGTTTGAATTAGCTCACTTATTCTTCTTTATGGTGCATGTCAGGCCACTGATATATACTGTATGTCCAACGCCTACCCTTCCCAGCGACCTTTTACAAGAAGGGGAAGAAAGAAAAGAAAAATGAAAGAGAAACTCAGAAAATGAGTAGAAGTATGAGATGAGAAGTTTTTGTTATTTGAAGAGCCATGCAAAATCCAGACTCATAAAACTCAGAAATTAGAAGTTAGGCAACGAAAATGTCCATACCAAGATCTCACGAAGTGCAACTTTGCCGAAATTTGTCCAGTGTTATCTTCAATTCTCATAGAGAAAACAGCTTCTGTGGTATTTCTTTCATTTACTATATCTATAACGATCCCATATAAGCTAATGCCAGTCATCTTGTCTTGAAGGTCGACCACAAAAGACTGTAAACTTCACAAATAGCATGAAAAATTAAGATTCATCTCCGTAAAGTTAATAAGACAGACTTCAGAATGAAAGGAAATTTTTTAAAGAATCATAATTCAAGTAATTGCAATTAGTTGTTTGGCAAACAAAGAAAAAATAAATGCTTGGTGATATGGGATCTGAACATTAATACTGTAGCAATTCGACCTGTCATCTATAATATGTCAAGTGAATTTCTTAGAATTTTAACATCAGAATTGTGTAAGGCATAAATTGGCTTTTACCTTTTGCATCTTGTAAAATCAGATAATTATGAACTTTATACTACAGAAGGATTACAAAAAACTGACAGGAGCTAAATGCGTGGACCATTCTGAATCAATTTATGATATAACCAGAGTCAGGTATAAATTCCACAGGTGTATGAAACTGTACATGGAATAATGGGGTTGCAAGAGACATTATAAATGTCAATTGTCCGTTGTAACTACTACTTATTAAAGAAAAAGAACACAAATGCCATCCATACATTAAGATTATGATTAGAAGTTAAACTCACCCGAAAAGGATAATTACCAAAATCAATTGTCCCATGTGAATCGCACGGCAAGGAAACTTGAGAAACACGGGGATCCTGAGTAGGATATGATGTACCAAGCGTCCTTGAAGCTTGGTTTATATTCTGTGTTAAAACACATACCTGTGTAGTAAAATATTTATATATTAATGAGATTCAAGAAATAGAAAGTGTTTTTAAGTTTGTGTGTGTGCGTGCAGTGTAGAAAAGGTGGGAATCTACAACACACTTGCTCCTCGTGCTGAATGCAAGGCACCAAATATAACTGTGTTGCACTACCATATTCAAGACAAAGCTCATCACTTGATCCAATGCCATTCTCGTTTACAGTAGCAATATATGGTCTATCAAGGGCAAGCAAGCTACCAACACTGTTGAAATGGGAACTGTTATGTTGATATAATCATATAAGAATATTCCTGAATAACTAATATAAACTTAAAAGACTCACCTTAAAAGATTGGCTAGTATCACCTGTTCACCCCATAAGAGAAACTTTAGCTTGAAACCATCATTATCAAGAAGAAGAATTTGTATCATCTGTAAGCCGTTAGTTTTCTCATGAATTTCTTTTGGACCAATAGACTCAATCCTGAAAATATTGAATATAAGACGACCATTATTTAGTTCATTATTGGATAAATCCATCCTCTGTGAAAACTGATTTATTTGGTCAATTCAGCCTCTAGCTCATTGCAGGTTAAGAAACCAGTTTAGATGGAGATGGATAAAACTGGAGAAAAAGTTGTATATCTTGCCTTGCATATAATGAATATGTAGTCCCTTTATCGACGGCATCAAGAGAAACAGAAGAAAAGGAATCGGAACAAAATTGAGCTCCTAGAAGTATTACATCATCATCCTCTTCCTACAATAAATAGAAGATAGTAACTGTGCATATGCAAAAAAAAAAAAAAAAAAAAATTATAATATTGATTTTGGTAGCTAGAAAAACCATTTTGACAACCTCATCTAACAATATGATAAGGTATTCAGTTGGTAGAAGTCGTGGATGACCAGATCCGCCACTGGCAGCACGAAGATAGCATCCAGTTAAAAATATTTGCCTCCCTTTTTTCAAAATTCCACCCACTAAGTCATAGAATCTGCCATCAAAGATTCGTGTTTTACTTGTTCTTCCATGAAATATGAAGATAGCAAGTTCTGTGCAGTTGTAGAGTCGTAACAAAACCTCAAATCAAGATGAAAATATGGAAATGAAAGTCGATATTTAGGGATAAAAACTAAAAAAAAAAATTAAAATTAAAAAAAAAAAATGAAGTGATTCGGGCATGCTTTAATGTCAATATGCAAAAAAAAAAAATTAAAATTAAAAAAAAAAAATGAAGTGATTCGGGCATGCTTTAATGTCAATATGCAATACAAAATCAAGCATTCATATCCAGCAACTGTATCATTGGATTCACAACCTTAGTTAAATAAGGATTTGTTCTATGAGTTGTACAACTGTATCCTTGAGTTCTAAAAAACTTACTATTCAAACCAATCAATCAATTTTTATTCAATGTACCAATTGTTGAGTGTGGTCCATTGATCCTTCAAATGTACCAATAGACGAGTTAATCTCTCTCCTTTCTTTGATCCAATCAATCAATTTCTATTCAAATGTACCAATTCATGAGTGTGATCTATTGGTCTACCGATCCTTCAAGTATCTGCAATAGCTTGTCTTGGTACATTCAGTTGGTTTCATCTCCTTCTGTGCTTTCTATTTCTCTAAACTATGGAAGCTAAGAATTCCAAAAAAAGAAAAAGATAAATTATTGGTTTGTGGCTCAGGAGAGAATCAACATCTTATACCTCAGCATGAAAGCCTCCCCTCTTGTCCTTGGTTGGAATTGGCATGTCGGGTACAAGTGCAATGCAAAAGATCTTAATCGCTTACTGTGACTATACCCACCTGCTTTTGAGTCGTGGGTTGTATGTAGCAGACATCTGATATTTTTGTTATTCACAGGTCACGCATTCAATGGACGATGAGGTCATTTTGAATTCTTTGTTCAAGGAGAAAGGTAATTTGCTATGGCAAGCTAATTTTGTTCATCATTTATGGCATATTTGGGTGGAAAGAAACCAATAACTTTCATGGGGTTAGATAACTTGTAGGAGGAGAGGTGGGGTTTTGTGCATGTTAACGTTTTTTTTTTTTTTTGGTTCATACTACAGTTTTTTTCTTTCTTTCTTTCTTTTTTTTTTTTTTTTTTTGTGCAATTACCCTTTTTATCAACAGCAGCTGAGGGTTCTCTTTAATAAACATTTTCTTGTGTTCCTCACTTTTAGCTGGCCTTCATTTTTCTTTGATGGATTTTTTGTGTTCATTTTTCAAATGCAAGCTGGTTTATTCAAACTAATGTGGCACAAAACGAGTGCAGTGCAGTAATACCACTGAAAGGATCTTCTAATTAAGCAAACAAATGGCCATTCAGAATACATTCATTCCAAATGGTTTTTATTGCATGATAAATAGATCTGAAGGGTAGCAGTATTACCTACAATGGAGATAGAGATCAATCGTATTAGAGCTCCAAAAATCCCCCAAAGTAAGCATGTGTATATTTGTACCTTAAGAAAATCATGTTGATAAAAGATTCAGAACCTTGTTTGTGTAATGACATCTAAACAGTCGAACTAAGGAAACAACACCTGAACTTAAGTAGTTCCAAAATTAAAAAATGAAACAAATGAAGGTGTTCCCGAAGAAAGAGATATATCTTATTGAGTAAATTAACTAGTATGAATATGTGTGTTTCAGTTTCAGAAACCCTTTCCTCAAGCTACAAATATATTAGCTTTTTAGTCATGTATAATTGATTTGGAAGTGCAACAAGAACATTGCTAAAATTACAATCATCAGCTTAAAATGGGAGATAGAAGTACCTGGAAGAATAAATTCTTCAACAATAACTGCTTCCAAAACGCTGCTTAAAGATAGGAAATTCTTCTCATATATGGAGTCAATAGTAACTGTTTTCGGGAGCTTCTTTCTTCTATTCTTCTTCTTCAACTGATTAATACATTCAGGTATTTTCTTGGGAGCCCCAATTCTGTGTTGCTCAGACCAGGCCTTCAAAACAAAAATCACTACCCAAGTAACTGTCTTGTAGAATAGAACTGTGAAAGGTTAATTTATATCATCTTAGTTGGTAACAAGAAGTGAAACCGGTATTTTTTTTTTTTTTTTAAGAAACATCAGAAGTGAAACCAATCATTGTTTATATAAACCATTTAGTTACTGTTCTTTTTCAGACTTACTCAAGTTGCACAATATCTATCAACTACTGTACTTTGTCTTCTCCATCTAAATCAGGCACAACCTTTGACCCCTTACCATAAGGGTTAGGTGTAGTTGTTCAAGGGTATAGATAACTTTGCCTGGTTTTACCAATCATTCAGCTTATTAACTCTTTCCGAGATGCCACGTTATGCACCAAGTTTTACCTCAACTAAACCACTTTTATTCTGTAACATCTCTTATCAGAATTTCACGGGTTATACCCACTCCCACCACAAGGAAACCTCATGAATCAGGTTACATCGGTGTAAACAATTTTTTATGCTTTGGAAAAAATGTATTCTTCCTAAGCTAACGAGTTACAATTTAGGGGCACTTGACAGGAGGGATAAGGAAGTCCAGAATGCATTTTCCCCCTAGAGAAAAAACGTATGCCTTCATCACCCGCGGATTTCTTGTTTCCAATCTAGACTATGAAGCTTGGGACGGAACCAAACATTTCTCACTTGGATAATTGCGTAATTGACTGTTGAAATAGCCTTTCAGCTGATGACATACTGAATTGAAAAGAACATTGGGAGGACACTAAAAAGCTGTGTGGGGTAAGGGTGCAATCTAGATCACTCGAGGTTGGCCCACATGGTGATGCCTAATACTTCAGAAAGCCAATAGAACCACAATTGGATCAAGAAATCTTAAGGAGAGATCGACTTCAAAAACCTAGAAGCAAGCCATGAACATCGAGTATTCATCCCTCATTTAGAGCATGGGCTCTTCTTCTCCCCGCTACGAATGAATTGTTAATAAGTGGGTGTATAAAATAAAAAGGAACTCGGGTGGCCTACTGCTACAAATTCAAACTAGTAACCAAGAACTTCCATTAAACTCGTGGAATCTTTAGTCTAATTGTGTAACATTCAACATTCCAGGTAGTCCTCACTTTGCAGTTACCTTAGATAGGAAATTCAGGCAATTAATAACACTTCTTCATTTGATTGCTCAAAGTTTCCCTACAAACGAAATAATTAACCTTAATGAAGTTTGAATTCACAGTACCTGCGAGAGCTCGGATAGCAAAATCGCAGGGGTAACAGAACTGGAGTAGGCGATACAAGTTCTGAGGACCCGAGAGGCGATCCAACTCCAACCCGGCGTATAGGTCTTCGTTCCTTTAACATTAGGATCGAAGTCTTCTTCGTCCTCAAATGCTAGCACAGACCTCGCGTAATCGATAAATTTAAGAAACGGATCATCATCTTCTTCTTCCTGAAGCCGCCGGCGATCGTTCAACTCCATGGCCGACTTTCCACCGGCCTCGTACGATTTGAAATATCGATCCCGAGAAGAAGACATTCTTGAGTATCATCGACTTCGAGTCAAGCTCACGTCCAGATTAAGCCATTTCTGCGCCCTATATTTGAGGTTCATTTTCAGCGGGAAGATGATTGCCAAATGTGCGCGGTTTTCCAATGCTTACACAGTGACGTCATTTTTTTTAATAAGAAACTCAATTTTTTAAATAGATTGGTTATTTAATTTTTTTAAATAAAATATTAATGTTACAAAACATATATTCATTTATTTTTCAAACGGTTTATAACTTAAATATGTTTATATAATTGGAGCGCAAGAATCCAAACTCACTCCGAGTAAATATAAAGAATGTTTCATTTTTCTTTTCAACGGTGGGCTTGTACAATTTTCCTTCCAGCTATAAAGAATGTTTTATTTTCCTCTCTAAATATTGTTGTCTTTTACTTTTTACTTATGGTTGTCTTTGGCTTTTTCCTTTTCGCTATATAAAGAATGTTTCATTTTCCTCTCTAATGGGCTTGTACAATTTTCCTTCCAACTATAAAGAATGTTTTATTTTCCTCTCCAAATATTGTTTTCTTTTACTTTTTCCTTATGGTTCTCTTTGGCCTTTTCTTCTTTCATTTTACTCTTTAATGGGCTTGTACAATCCACCCCAATCCACCCCTTTTGAGTCACAGCACCCTCTTAGGCACTTATCTCACTATTCGCTCCCTTATAGGATATCTGAAAAAATTGGAACGATACAAAAAAGATTAGCACGGCCCCTATGCAAGGATGACACACACAAGAAATGGTATCCTAGTCGTACCGGGTAGAGTACTAACAAAAACGTTGGGCCACTAAAGGGGTGGAATATAAAATCTCATATCAGTTGGAGAATGAAATGAAACCTTATTTGTAATAGTGTAAAACCTTTTCTTAGTAGACGCATTTTTAAACCTTGAGAAGAAGCTCGAAATGAAAAACCCAAAAAAAACATATGGATGGTATGAAAAAAAAAAATAGGTTGAATCTTGAAAAAATTCATGAAGCTACCTAATAATTTTTCATTTATTTAAAATTAACTAAACTAAAATAAGTGATAACTCAATCCAAACCACGTTGGATCTGTGTCCTCAAACCATTAAGAAGCACTAGAGAGATCAGACTCAGAGAACCTCAAGAATTATAAACTTACGAAGTTATTTACATTATGGCTTCTTTTAGACATGTAGAACTCCATCAAAGAAGTGTTTTCTTCCTTGATCCTTGCAGCTATAATAATAACTTTATGAACGAGGGAAGCTTAGACTTACAAAACATTTGTTCCATTAAGAACCTTGTTTTCTCTGGAATGAACTATAAGATCGATCCTCAAGTAGATGAAGATGCTGTTCTTTGGCTCTGTGAAACAGCCATTTCTGGTCTGTTTTCTGATCTCATTTGACTTCTTTGATACTTAAATCTTTTGGGTCGAGTTGTTTCGAGTTGAATTTCGAGTTTCGACGTGTCTATCGACAACTTTTTCATCATAAAGGCATCCAAATCAAACCCAGTTTCACTGTCAGCCACACTAGAGGAGGCACCCGAGTCGTCTAAAGAGCTGTTTCTAGCGCCTCCATCTGCTACTCTTGACATGGCGAAGGGGTCTTGCTCCAGCTTCAACAGCCTCTTTATGCTATCAAGTGCTGGGTCAATAACGTCTAAGATCCCCATAACCCACGAAGCATCATCCACAACTTCTGTTCTCTGTTGCAACACTGCCTTCATTTACTTAACAGTGGTTCAGAAAAACTAACTCAAATTTCAAAAAACAAGGTTCTGACCTGCTGGAAGTATAGATTTCGAATTTCCTCCGCTCGGATTGCGTTCCCTTGATCATCTTCCAGTGCTGCCCAGGTCATCCATGTTACATAACTCTGAGAGTTTATGCTTAGAGAGGATCTATATAATCTTCTAGCTGCTGATAGGTTGCCTGCTCTCTGTTCTAGAACACCCCAAGCCTGTATTAAAGCAATCAAAGTAAGTAATATTTCGATTCCAAGCAGAAATTAAAGGTTCTCGAACTTAGATAACAAAATTAGAACATGACTCCAACAAGTATTCCTATCATTTTCAACTTCCTCCTACCAATCATCCATCTTGCAATGTTTGTAACCGTGTAACAGCCCAAGTTTACCGCTCAACTTCCTCCTACCAATCATCCATCTTGCAATGTTTGTAACCGTGTAACAGCCCAAGTTTACCGCTAGTCCATTTTGGCTCGTTACATATCCCCGTCAACCTTACAGTTTTAAAGCGTGTTTGTTAGGAAATGATTTCCACACCCTTATAAGGAATGCTTCGTTCCCCTCTCCAACCGATGTGGGATCTCACAATCCACCCTCCTTGGGGGTCCAGTGTCCTTGTTGGCACACTGTTCATTGAACAGGCTCTGATACCATTTGTAACAATCCAAACTCACCGCTAACAGATATTGTCCACTTTGGCATGTTGCGTATCACCGTTAGCCTTACGGTTTTAAAACACGTGTCTCACAATTCACTCCCCTTGGGGGCCTAGCGTCCTCGTTGACACACCACCCAAAGAGGACAACATCTGCTAGTGGTAGGCTTGCACTGTTACAAATGGTATCAGAGCCAAGTTCCAAGCGGTATGCTAATGAGGTTGCTAGGTCCCTAAGGAAGGTTACAAATGGTATCAGAGCCAAGTTCCAAGCGGTATGCTAATGAGGTTGCTAGGTCCCTAAGGAAGGTGAGTTGTGAGATCTCACATTAGTTGGAGAGAGGAACATAGCATTCTTTATAAGATTGTGGAAACCTCTCCCTAACATGCGCGTTTTAAAACCTTGAGACTGACAGCGATACGTAACGGGTCAAAGCAGACAATATCTACTATTGGTGGACATGAACTATTATAAATGGTATCAGAGCCAGTCACTGAATGATGCGAGGCACTGATTGAAGTAGGACTAGATCCTCTCCATAGTAGATGCATTTTAAAAACCTTGAGGGAAAGCTTGAAAGAGAAAGCCCAAAAAGAACAATATTGGCTAGCAGTGGGTTTGGAGCCGTTGCAGTGCGACGCCCAGGCTAACCATCAAAATTTTGAAACCAAATTTATAATTCAACAACGAGCATTTGTCTACCTGAAGGCATCGAGCTGCACTCTCACTAGCTGAGTCAATTAACAATGCTCTTTGATACAGCTCCCTTGCCTTCCCTATGTTACCTTCTTTCCATTCCATCCATCCCCAAGCCTGCATAAGCCATGGTTTAAGTTTTGTCAAGGAAAATGGAACCTCAACAAAAGATCTGATCAGATTTTGAGTGGAAAATCCTTCTACAAGGGAATGGATATTAACATACAATCCACACTGGTTGGTGCTTGGGGTCCAGTTCAGATGCTCTCCTAAACAAAACTCGAGCCATGCTTGCAGAGGAGTTCTTATACTCCAATAAACCAAGAGACTGAAGAAGAACAGGGTCTCTTGGATTTAGGACATGGCCTATCTTTAAAAGTTTCCTTCCCTTCTCGATATTTCCTATATTAGCTTCAAAGAGTCCCCATATGTGCCACGCAAATCTGTTCTTGGGGCTCGCCTGGATGGCTTTCTAGGTAACAAAGAAACAAACGAACTTGTTAATGAGGGAAATGAAAGGATCTACTAAGAACTCATCAACAGTTAAACAAGAGAAGGGAAATCAAAATCACCTCAAATAGTTGTCTAGCAAGAAGGTTGTTCTCCCGCTGCATCTCCAGCTGCGCCCATGCCTGCCATACCATGATCATGTCCAAATTACTGAGGGGATTTGGGAGATGAAAGTAATGATCAAATTTCAAAACAGAATCAGGGCAATGGACAATGGGATGTAAAAGAACTGAGATGAAAGTAATGATCAAATTTCAAAACAGAATCAGGGCAATGGACAATGGGATGTAAAAGAACTCACAAGCCAACTAGCACAGCTTTTGGGGTTGCACTTGGTAGCCTGCTTAAACAAATAACGTGCCTGCTCGTAGCGATTCGATTTGGCTTCGAGCAGGGCGAGTGTTTGATAGATATACTCATTCCCACGCCTGCTCGTAGCGATTCGATTTGGCTTCGAGCAGGGCGAGTGTTTGATAGATATACTCATTCCCACCACAGTATTTGAGGCCTTTGGCTAGTAGATTCCTGGCCTTCTTGAGGTTCCCCTGCTTTAGCTCTAGCACAGCCCAGCCATGCCATGCGGCAATGTGCTTCTTGTTGGCTACTGTGGCTGCATCAAAGAGCTCTCTTGCTTTCCTGATATTCCCCATCCTGCTCTCCAGAACAGCCCAGCACTATATCAAGTGTGCAATTAGTGGCTAAAATTTGAGACGATGAAACATAAACCTGTTTCCAAATATTTCATGATAGCCCAATTCAGCTTGTTTTTTTTGGTCTATCAAGGGGTGTAAGCGGGTCGGTTTCAGTTGGTTTCTTTGACCAAAACTGCTTTTTTTTTTGGTCTATCAAGGGGTGTAAGCGGGTCGGTTTCAGTTGGTTTCTTTGACCAAAACTGCTTATGAATTGGTGTATCAGTTTTACACAAAAAGATCTTTTTTTTCACACTCCACTCTACTCGTCTTCAAGAAAGCTATACTGAGACAACAAGGGTAAAAGATCTTTTTTTTCACACTCCACTCTACTCGTCTTCAAGAAAGCTATACTGAGACAACAAGGGTTTTGAGACCCTAAGTTTAGCATATAATGGGTGGAAGATTGTTGAGAGGGAGTTCTACATTGGCTAATTAAGAGGACGATCAATGGATTTATAAGTAAGAAATACATCTCCATTAGCATGAAATCTCTTGCTAATTAAGAGGACGATCAATGGATTTATAAGTAAGAAATACATCTCCATTAGCATGAAATCTCTTGGGGACACTAAAAGCACATTCATGAGAGCGTATGCTCAAAGTGGACAATATCATACCATTGTGGAAGTCCGTCACTAAAAGCACATTCATGAGAGCGTATGCTCAAAGTGGACAATATCATACCATTGTGGAAGTCCGTGATTCCTAGTTGTGCCCTTAACTCAACATGTCAATAGAATCCTCAAATGTCGAACAAAGGGTGTACTTTGTTCGAGCAGAGATAGGAGTTAAGCCTCAATTAAGAGGAGGTTGTTCAAGGGCTTTATAGGTCTCAAGGGAGGCTCTATGGTGTATTTTGTTTGAGGAGGATTATTGGGAGGGAGTCCCACATTGGCTAATCAAGAAGACGATCTTGGATTTATAAGTAAGAAATACATCTCCATTGGTATGATGCCTTTTGGGGGAAACCAAAAGTAAAACTACGAGAGTTTATATACTCAAAATGGATAATATCATATATAATTGTGTGATTTCTATAACCTTGAATCAACAGCTTTGGAACCTGTATGTACAAACTATTACTACCATCAGGAAAAACTAGAGAGATAACGAATCAACAGCTTTGGAACCTGTATGTACAAACTATTACTACCATCAGGAAAAACTAGAGAGATAACTTTGGGCTCATAAAAGGCAGGATTCAAACTGACCTGCCAAATGTAGGAGTTCTCGCCTTGGGTGGCTTGGCAGCCTCTCTCATACACATTTCTGGCGTCGGCGGCTTTCATTTGCTTGCTCAACATCTTCCCCAATGCTACGTATGCCCGCCCATCCTCCGGCCATTTATCTATACACTTTCCCAACCAAATCACGCGCTAAATTCAGCCCCAATATTTGATTATAAAAAAAAAATGCTTCTAAATAGTTGAAAGTACTTTTTGAATTTCATATATAATAGAACCAAAAACTAACTTTGTGAAGTTACGAAGGATTAAAATTAATAAAGGAATCCTAAATTTCTGAGAGAAAAATACCTTCTGAAGGACTTGCCGTGCTTCATCATACAGAAAATTCCTCGCCATCATCTTCGCTTTGTACAACGCCAAATCCAAATTGATAATCAGCGGCCTTTCTAGGGCACTCGAATCCACCCGATTCTCCGGTTCAAATATCGGCATCTTCTTCGCAATCTCTGCTAGCCCTAGTTCTATCACCGAAGAACTCCTCTCATCTTCCGCCTCCTCGCCGTCGCCGGAATCTTCACCGGTAAACTCCATTACCGGCCGCCGAACTCTAAGAACCTCCTCCGACGCCTCTCTTTTCTCGCCGTCCAACGTAATATCGGAGGAGAGAACCGCCGTCGAGGACTCCCTCGAAGAACAGCAAACGGAGAAGGAGCTCGGAGCGAAATGGAGAGGTATAATCAAATTTTTGCATCTGTATTTCGAGAGATTGTTCGGATTTTGAGATGAAGAGAACAGATTGAAGCTTGCGGTTGAAGGAGATGAAGAGAAGACTTGCATTTTTTTTCCTTTTTTTTCTCTGAAATTTTTTTAACGGATTCAGCTGCGTGATTTTGCTTTCGTAGGTGCTCTGGAGAAGAAGAAGAGCGATAGGAAATTACGTTTCTGCCCTTCAGGTAGTGCCGTCTGTACGGCTTTCTAAAGTGGAAGACTTGAAAGGGTATCTTCGGGATTCTGGTGGCTAAAATGTGACTGGTGTGAGTTTGTCCACGTGGCAGTTAGTGGAGTGGCTGTGCACTTTAATCCTTTGAGGTAGATTTTATACCACGTGGAGGAATTTTGTTGGTTGATTTTGTGGATATCTGATATTCTGCAGATAAATATCCAATACCGAGTTGGGAGCGATTCTTCGAAAAAGCTGGCACTGAGTCACTATCGAGTCAATGAAATTCTTGCATACGTGGCATTGTCTCCTTATCTTATTACCTTTCCTTTTTTAAATCCAAACTAAAATTTTAAAATTAAGACCAATTTCGTAACTATTTAAGTTTTTATTTTTAAAAATTTTGTTAACTTTTCTTGTCGTTTCTCCATAATATATATATATTTTTATTTATTTTTAAAATAATTGAACTCTTAATTAAAGTCTAAAAATAAAAATAAAAAACAAGTTTTTGATTTTTTTTAGTTGTCAAATTTTAGATTAAATTTTAAAATATATATATATAAATAATAGATAATAGAATAATTGAAGAAATTCATAGAAATAGTATTTATAAACTTAATTAAAAAAAATTAAAAACAAAAATGGTTATAATAAAACCTATAAAAAATAATTTCTCGAAAAACACTTACTTGTTAAAGAAATACATCTCTCCACTCCAATGTTGTATGATTTTGTCCACTTTAAACATAAACTCTAGTGTTTTTTCTTTGGGATTACCCAGAAAGCCTCACACCAATATGATATTTCTTGATTATAAATCAGCGTGACACCAATGGAGATGGTATTCCTTCGTTATAAGTCCATGATCATTCTTTAAATTAGCACATTAGCTGCCGATGTGGTACTTTCATCCAACACCTCCCATCGAACAAGGTACGCCTCCCCTTAATCGAACCAAGCTCTTTTATTTCTACTAAATTGACGTTTTTTTTTCAGGTTGAACCAAGCTCGGATCAAGAAAAAAAAATTCGCTCTGTCTCTATCAAATCGATGCTTTTTAAAGTCAAACCAACCGAGGTCATATAAGCTTAGCAAATCTCTCATTTTGTCATTTAATTTGTATTATTTTAGAGAGAGAGAGGGAGAGGAGAGACAAAAGGTGACAAAACAAAAAACGCCAAAAAGTAAAGCCAAATTATGCACTTAAACAATTGAAAACAGAGCACTTGAAAGCAAACAGAGTTTCCAAAGCATCAAAATGGTTAAACCAGAGGAATATTCACCAAAAAAGAGAACAAACAATTGAATGATAAACAAACAAACAAACAAACCTTCCATCTTCAATTTCAGATCGATCAAATCAATGGCGATTTCAAATCTCCTCACCTTCACAAACTCCCTCCTCCTCGCGGTCCTCGCGATCCTCTGCTCCAATGGCTTCCCGAACCTCTTCAAGCCCCAATCGAACCGGACGAACATCGTAATCTACGTCCACGACTACTTCACCGGAGAAGACGCATCGGCGATCACAGTCGGCGGCAGAAAAGGATCGGAATCGAGCGTTCTGGAGTTCGGAACCCTAATCGTGGTCGACGATCCGGTGACGGAAGGGCCGAGGATCGAGTCGAGAGAGATCGGAAGGGCACAAGGTATGTACATTAACTCTCAATCGGACGGGAAAGGACTGTATATGGTGTTCTCGGTGATTTTCACCGGCGGCGAGTTCAGAGGGAGTAGTTTGGAGATTCAGGGCTCGGATTTGTTCACGTTGAAGGAAAGGGAATTTGGAGTGGTTTCTGGAACCGGTTTTTTCCGGTTCGTTAAGGGGTTTGGGATTATGAAAACCGAGAATATGGATTTGGTTCATTTGAGAGCTGTTATTAAGCTCAATATTACAGTAAAGCATTATTGACTTGAGTTATCTTCGTGTCTCTTTCTTTTCCTTGAATTTTATTAAAAAAATTATTTTAATCTTTCGAGTTTGGATAATTATCTTAATGGTTCATAAGCTAAGTTGATATGAATCAAGTGACATCAATCCTACCATATGCTTAAATGAAGATGTTAATAAAATATTGTTAAAATTATCAAAAGATATTTCAATTCATATCACATCAAAGAATGAAATTTCATATTATAAATTTTGGTGAATTACAATTTAGAGTAATTATATTTTATTAATATTTTAAGACTTTTTATTTATTTTATATTATAATTACTGCTCTTGAAATTTTAATAGTTTCATTTCTTAGGCTATATAAAACCATGTGTGTTGTATTTGTAAGTAACTTGTAAAATAGAGTAAAAAGAATATTTGTGATTTTCTGTTTTGCAATTTTATGTAGTGTAGGTGGCATGTAGAATCATTTAAGCTCGACATGATCAATTTTGTTGGTGAAGTGATTCGAATCTCAAGCAAGTGTTATTGCGTTGAGATATTTGATCAAACAAGAATCATACAAGCTAGACATGATTGATCTTGCTCGTTGAATGATTCGAATCTCAAACAATGTTCTTGCCTTGAAATATTCGATCAACAAGATAATCCGAATCTTACTCTCATTGTCGTGATTTCCACGTAGTAGTGGTTGATGATGGACAGTAATTATCGGAATAGTAAATTGAACTTTAAATATTTAAAATCAAAACGTAATAAAAATAGATTAAAATATTTTGTTAGACAAATTTTTTAATAGATTTATATTAAACATTAGAATAAAATAAAATGAATTTAATTATAATAATTAAATGAGTTAAAATTTCAATTTTATATTTAATAAATTTATATCCATCTAACACGATAATTTATTTTATTGACATTTTTAACCTTTAAATTAAAAATTTTATAAAACTATTTATAATAACTTTATTAGCAAAAGTTGAAGCTTATAATTTCATCCAAAAAGAAGTTTAGTTCGGTGTTTAAAGAATAAAAGTGGATTTTAAAAAGCTGTTAATTATTACCAGCTTTTCTCTTTATTTTCAGTTATATATATCATAAATAAATAATAATAAATACAAAAACACGACTCTCAGCTTCCATGGATTTCACAAGCACACAGCTCTGTTGATGAACAGAGAAGCGAGAGAAGCCAGAGAATGGAGAGAGAGAAAGCAGCAGAAAAGAAAAAGAGTCCTCGAAGAACAAATTAGGATTTTCTTCTCCTTTTTCGGAATATATATATATATATCTATATATGTATATATGTATTTCAAATACTGAAACAACACTCCGGTATTGCTAGTTCGTTCTTTTACGTACGACTGAAAGCTCTCAATTCGTCAAGTTTTTTTTTAAGCACCTAGTGATGAGTGTTTTGTTGTTCTCATTTCTATGAACTGATTTTGGTTTTGTGAATTTTGATCTCTCGTTCTTCGTCGGAGAATCGTGCTTTCTCAGCTCCGGCGCCGCTGTGTACTGAATTGAGAATCCATGGTTAGGATTTGAGGAATTTGTGAAAGTTAGTGGAAGTAAATCGCCGTCTGAAAAATGGTTTCGAGTAATCGGGGGACGAATTCGCATCAGCAACAAGCAGAGTCCTCGAACACGAACACGAACACGAGCCATATGCGATCTAATCGTACAGAATCCATCAGCAAAGCCGTAGCGCAGTACACCATCGATGCTCGTCTTCACGCAGTGTTTGAACAGTCAGGTGAGTCCGGTAAATCTTTTGACTACTCACAATCTATCAGAACCTCGACATCTGTGCCGGAGCAGCAAATTACTGCTTATTTGTCGATGATTCAAAGGGGCGGCCATATCCAGCCCTTTGGATGTATGATAGCTATCGATGAGGCAAATTTTCGGGTTATTGCTTATAGTGAAAACACTAGGGAATTGCTTGGTCTTACTCCTCAATCAGTGCCAAATCTTGAAAAGATAGAGATTCTCACAATTGGGACTGATGTACGGAGCTTGTTCACTTCCAATAGTGCAATTTTGCTTGAGAAAGCATTTGGGGCTCGAGAAATCACTTTGTTAAACCCTGTTTGGATTCATTCTAAGAATTCTTTGAAGCCATTTTATGCTATTTTGCATAGGATTGATGTAGGAATTGTGATTGATTTAGAGCCAGCAAGAACGGAGGATCCTGCCCTTTCTATTGCTGGGGCAGTTCAATCGCAAAAGCTTGCAGTGCGTGCAATTTCTAAGCTACAAGCACTCCCTGGTGGAGATATTAAACTGTTGTGTGATGTTGTGGTTGAGAGTGTTAGGGAGCTTACTGGATACGATCGAGTTATGGTGTATAAGTTTCACGAAGACGAGCACGGTGAGGTTGTGGCTGAAAGCAAGAGGCCTGACTTAGAGCCATACATTGGATTGCATTATCCTTCTACTGATATTCCTCAGGCATCGAGGTTTTTGTTTAAGCAAAACCGTGTTAGAATGATTGTCGATTGCCATGCTTCTCCAGTTCGTGTAATTCAGGCTGCAGGGCTTATGCAACCTCTTTGCTTAGTGGGTTCGACTCTTCGTGCCCCCCATGGCTGTCATTCTCAGTATATGGCCAATATGGGCTCCATTTCGTCGTTAGCAATGGCGGTTGTTATCAATAGTAATGACGATGAAGCTATTGGTGGGAGAAATTCAACGAGGCTTTGGGGTTTGGTTGTTTGCCACCATACTTCGGCTCGGTGTATTCCGTTCCCCCTCCGGTATGCATGTGAGTTTCTAATGCAAGCATTTGGACTTCAACTTAATATGGAATTGCAATTGGCTTCACAGTTGTCTGAGAAACATGTTTTGAGAACTCAAACTCTTTTATGTGACATGCTTCTTCGTGATTCCCCAACTGGCATTATTACTCAGAGTCCAAGCATCATGGACTTAGTAAAGTGTGATGGGGCAGCTCTTTACTATCAAGGGAAGTATTACCCTCTAGGCGTGACGCCAACCGAAGCCCAAATAAAGGACGTCGTGGAATGGTTGCTAGCTTTCCATGGAGATTCAACTGGTTTAAGTACAGATAGCTTGGCCGATGCTGGCTATCCAGGGGCAGCCTTGCTTGGTGGTGCAGTTTGTGGAATGGATGTTGCCTATATCACCAAAAGGGATTTTCTCTTCTGGTTCCGATCGCACACAGGAAAAGAGATCAAGTGGGGCGGCGCAAAGCATCACCCAGCGGATAAGGACGATGGTCAAAGAATGCATCCACGTTCTTCGTTCAAGGCATTTTTAGAAGTAGTAAAATCCCGTAGTTTACCGTGGGAGACTGCAGAAATGGATGCTATTCACTCATTGCAGCTTATTCTTCGAGATTCATTCAAGGATAACGCTGCAATCAATTCGAAAGCCGTTGTGCATCCTCAACTTGGGGATCTCAACTTGCAAGGGACCGATGATCTCAGCTTGGTTGCTAGAGAAATGGTCAGGTTGATCGAGACTGCAACTGCTCCAATCTTTGCTGTAGATGTCGACAGCCGTATCAATGGATGGAACGCTAAGATAGCCGAGTTGACTGGGCTTGCAGTCGAGGAAGCTATGGGGAAATCCCTAGTTCGTGATCTCGTGTATAAAGAATCTGAAGAAATAGTCGACAAACTCGTTTCCCGGGCTTTAAAAGGTAGGTAGCTCAGTTACTTATGGAGCTTTTTTGGCATATATCATAGTTGTTTTATAAATGCAGGTGAAGAAGAAAAGAATATAGAGATAAAAATGAAGACATTTGGGCGAGATCCAGATGATCAAAGACAGCCAATTTTTGTGGCTGTCAATGCTTGTTCTAGCAGGGACTACACTGATAATATAGTAGGCGTTTGTTTTGTTGGTCAAGATCTTACCTGCCAAAAAGTGTTCATGGACAAATTTATTAGCATACAATGTGATTATAAAGCCATTGTTCATAGTCCCAATCCTCTTATCCCTCCAATATTCGCTTCGGACGACAATACGTGTTGCTCGGAATGGAATACCGCCATGGAAAACCTCACCGGATGGTCCAGAGAAGACATAATTGGAAAAATGCTAGTAGGGGAGGTTTTTGGAGATTGTTGTAGACTGAAGGGGTCAGATGAATTGACCAAATTTATGATTGTCTTGCACGGTGCAATTGGAGGGAAGAACAATGAAAAATTCCCCTTTTCTTTTTATGACAAAAAGGGGAAATTTGTGCAGGCTCTCTTGACAGCAAATAAGAGGATGAATATGGAGGGGCAGATTGTTGGAGCTTTCTGCTTTGTTCAGATTGCCAGTCTTGAATTGCAGCGAACTCTTAGAATGCAGAGGCAACAGGAGAAGAACCGGTTTGTAAGGATGAAAGAGCTGGCTTACATTTGCCAGGAAGTGAAGAGTCCTTTGAGCGGTATACGCTTTACTAACTCGCTTCTGGAGGCTACGGATTTGAGTGAAGATCAGAAGCAGTTTCTGGAGACCAGTGTTTCTTGTGAAAAGCAGATGTTAAAGATTATAGAAGATATGGATTTGGAAAGTATTGATGATGGGTGAGTTGTTCTTTTAACAATTATCTATTTGACATCGTGAGGTCATACGCCGGTTGGAGAAGGGAACGAAACATTCTTTATAAGGGTGTGGAAACCTCTCCCTAGTAGATGCTTTTTAAAACTGTGAGGTTGAAGGCGATACGTAATGGGCCAAAGTGGACAATATCTGCTAGCGGTGGGTCTAGGCTGTTACGAATAGTGTCAAAGCTAGACACTAGGTGGTGTGTTAACAAGGACACTGGGTCTCTAAGAGTGGGTGGACTGTGAGGTCCCACATCGGTTGGAGAGGGGAACTAAACATTCCTTATAAGGGTGTGGAAACCTCTCTCTAGTAGACGCGTTTTTAAAACTGTGAGGTTGATGGGGATACGTAACGGGCAAAGCGGATAATATCTGCTAGCGGAGGGCTAGGGATGTTACAAATGGTATCAGAGCCAGACACCGGGTGGTGTGCCAGCGAGGACGTTGGGCCCCCAAGAGGGGGTGGATTGTGAAGCCTCACATCGGTGGGAGAGGGGAACAAACCATTTCATTCCTTATAAGGGTGTCGAAATCTCTCCCTACTAGACGCATTTTAAAACCGTGAGGCTGATGATGATATGTAACGAGCCAAAACGAATAATATCTGCTAGCGGTGGGCTTGGGCTGTTACAAATGATATCAGAGCCAGACATCGAGTGGTGTGCCAGTGAGGACGCTGGCCCTAAGAGGGGGTGGATTGTGAGATCCCACATCAGTTGGAAGGGAAACAAAACATTTCTTATGAGGGTGTGAAAACCTCTCCATAGTAGATGCGTTTTAAAACCGTGAGACTGACAGCCATACGTAACCGGCCAAAGCGGACAATATCTGCTAGTAGTGGGCTTGAGTTGTTACAATCATAGTAATTTTTATGCTAAATTGTTTATTTTATGCTCGAACTTGCTACCTTTCTCCCGTGCTTTTTTGGATTTATGTAAACCATTCTCCATAGTCAATAACATGTCTTGAGAAGAGTAGCTAATTTTCTGATTTGTTTTGGAATCAGTACAATGGAGATTGAGAAGGGGGAGTTCTTATTGGGAAGTGTTATTAATGCTGTTGTTAGTCAAGCGATGTTACTACTCAGAGAAAGAAACTTACAACTGGTTCGTGATATACCAGAAGAAGTAAAGACTATGGCCGTATATGGCGATCAAGTGAGAATTCAACAGGTCTTAGCTGATTTCTTGTTGAACATGGTGCGTTACGCACCGTCTCCGGAAGGCTGGGTAGAATTACGTGTCTGTCCATTCCTGAAGCAAAACTCGGATCGACTTTGTCTCGCACACACCGAATTCAGGTACTTTAATGTTCGATCATTCTTACAATATGCTTGAGCTGAAGATATTGTAAGTTGGACAAAAAGCACATGATGTAAATGTTAAAAATCACGGACGTCTATAATGGTATGATATTGTTCATTTCGAGCATAAACTCTTGTGGATTTGCTTTTGGTTTCCCCAACAAGCCTTATACCAATGGAGATAGTATTACTTACTTATAAACCTGTGATCTTTCCTTAATTAGCCAATGTGGGACTCCCTCCCAACAATCCTCCTTTTGAACAAAGTATACCATAAAGTCTCCCTTGAGGCCAATGGAGTCCTCGAGCAATCTCCCCTTAATCGAAGCTCAACTCCCTTTTTTGGAGCCTTCAAACAAAACACACAATTTGTTTGACACTTGAGTCACTTTTGACTACATTTTCGAGGTTAGCCTCCCCTGAGACGTATGGAGCCCTCAAACAACTCCCCCTTAATCGAGATTTGACTCTTTTTTTTGGAGCCCTCGAACAAAATACACCATTTGTTTTGACACTTGAGTCACTTTTGACTACACCTTCGAGGCTAGTCTCCCCTGAGGCATATGGAGTCCTCGAAGAACCTCCTCTTAATCGAGGCTCAACTCTTTCTCTAAAGCCCTCAAACAAAATACAGAATTTGTTCGACACTTGAGTCACTTTTGACTACACCTTCGAGGTTCACAGCTTCGTTGTTCGACATTTGAGGATTCTATTGACATGACTAAGTTAAGGGCATGACTCTATATCATGTTAGGAATCACGAACCCTCCACAGTGGTATGATATTGTCCACTTTGAGCATAAACTCTCATGACTTTGCTTTTAGTTTCCCCAAAAGGCCTCGTACCAATGAAGATAGTATTGTTTACTTGTAAACTAACATCTTTTCCTTAATTAGCCAACATCCAACTCCCACCGAGCAGTCCTTAATAGTAAATGCATAGTTATTATGTTTCCTTGTTTCAACAATAGCATTAGTTTCATAAGCAAATGGCTAACATATGTTACTATGATGAAGGATTGTATGCCCTGGGGAAGGTCTACCTCCTGAGTTGATCCAGGACATGTTTCACAGTGGCGGATGGGCGACTCAAGAAGGATTAGGGTTGAGCATGTGCAGAAAGATTCTGAAGCTCATGAAGGGTGAAGTCCAATACATCAGAGAATCTGAAAGATGTTATTTCTTGATCACTCTCGAACTCCCTTTAACAGAGAGAGCCCCCGGCGACGTCAGTTAGCTTCTTTGACCATATACTCGTGTAGTTTTCCAGCCATTGTTTATGAGCATACTAGTCGTCGTCGTCATCGTCATCGTCGAAGCCATGTGATATAATTGGTAGGTGAATTAAGGTTGTTTATGCTTGAGCTGAATTTTCCACTCAAGAATTGTTTTGTTTAGTCTTGTTTATGTACATCACAACGTTGGGTAGATTATTTTTGCTCAGGTCTGTTAGACGAACACGACTCTCCACAATGATATGATATTGTTCACTTTGAGCATAAGCTCTCATGGCTTTGCTACATCACAACGTTGGGTAGATTATTTTTGCTCAGGTCTGTTAGACGAACACGACTCTCCACAATGATATGATATTGTCCACTTTGAGCATAAGCTCTCATGGCTTTGCTTTGGGCTTCCCAAAAGGCCTCATACCAATGGAGATTATAAACCCATGACCATTCCCTAAATTAATCGATGTGGGACTTTCATCATCCAACACCTCCCCTCGAACAAAGCAATCTATTGGCACGGCTAAGTTTAGGGCATGGCTCTGATACCATGTTAGACGAACACGACTCTCCACAATGGTATGATATTGTCCACTTTGAGCATAAGCTCTCATGGCTTTGCTTTGTGCTTCCCAAAAGGCCTCATACCAATGGAGATTATAAATCCATGACCATTCCCTAAATTAACCGATGTGGGACTTTCATCATTCAACAAGGTCTTGTAAAGTGGATAATTTGTTTTTTTTTTTAATATTTTATGAGTATTTAAGCTTTTTAAAGTACATTACATGGTCAATAAAAATATATTAGTTAAATTAAAATAATATATAAAAGATCAAAAAAATTAAAACATTAATAATTAATTAATTTTAGAGCCATTATAATAATAAATATAGAAGAGATTTTGATTTTTTTTTGTTCGCTCAGACAAATATTTTAAAAAAATATATATATATTTTTTTTATTTTAATTACAAACTCCAAACAACCCACCTTATATAAATCTAAATTTAATAAAAGAAAATGTCAATTTATCTAAATTCACAAGATTTTCCAACATTTTTTTTTTGTGAAAATGTAAAATTTATGTTATAATAGTCCATTAAAGCATATATATTGGTAGTTAATTAATTGAATTAATTTTACTGGTTTTTAAAATAATTTTTTAAAAATATTTTAGAAAGTTAGATAATATTTTGTTTATGTTAACTTTATATTTGAATTATTTTCATAAATAAATTTGTTTATATTTGTTCAGTCAATTTTATTTTATAAAATAATTACCGGAAGGAAATTAAATGAAGAAATATATTTAAAGTTTTTTTTATTTTTTATATTTATTATTAAAAAAAAGTTGCATGTAAATACAATTTAATAAAAGTTTTTATTATTTCGATTAAATAACCAATATATAAATCATGTCGACGAATTTCCTCAGTTCAGTTCGCGTCCACTGGCTNCTCATGAAGGGTGAAGTCCAATACATCAGAGAATCTGAAAGATGTTATTTCTTGATCACTCTCGAACTCCCTTTAACAGAGAGAGCCCCCGGCGACGTCGGTTAGCTTCTTTGATCATATACTCGTGTAGTTTTCCAGCCATTGTTTATGAGCATACTAGTCGTCGTCGTCATCGTCGAAGCCATGTGTTATAATTGGTAGGTGAATTAAGGTTGTTTATGCTTGAGCTGAATTTTCCACTCAAGAATTGTCTTGTTTAGTCTTGTTTATGTACATCACAACGTTGGGTAGATTATTTTTGCTCAGGTCTTGTAAAGTGGATAATTTGTTTTTTTTTTTTTTTTAATATTTTATGAGTATTTAAGCTTTTTAAAGTACATTACATGGTCAATAAAAATATATTAGTTAAATTAAAATAATATATAAAAGATCAAAAAAATTAAAACATTAATAATTAATTAATTTTAGAGCCAGTATAATAATAAATATAGAAGAGATTTTGATTTTTTTTGTTCGCTCAGACAAATATTTTAAAAAATATATATTTTTTTATTATTTTAATTACAAACTCCAAACAACCCACCTTATATAAATCTAAATTTAATAAAAGAAAATGTCAATTTATCTAAATTCACAAGATTTTCCAACATTTTTTTTTTTGTGAAAATGTAAAAATTATGTTATAATAGTCCATTAAAGCATATATATTGGTAGTTAATTAATTGAATTAATTTTACTGGTTTTTAAAATAATTTTTTAAAAATATTTTAGAAAGTTAAATTGATAATATTTTGTTTATGTTAACTTTATATTTGAAATATTTTCATAAATAAATTTGTTTATATTTGTTCAGTCAATTTTATTTTATAAAATAATTACCGGAAGGAAATTAAATGAAGAAATATATTTAAAGTTTTATATATATATATATATATATATATATATATTTATTATTAAAAAAAAGTTGCATGTAAATACAATTTAATAAAAGTTTTTATTATTTCGATTAAATAACCAATATATAAATCATGTCGACGAATTTCCTCAGTTCAGTTCGCGTCCACTGGCTCTGCTGCTAATCAATTATCTAACCTCCAATTCTAACAATTGATCGTCAATTTCTTGATTTTCTTTCATGTTTATGGAGACGTAATCGCAGCGTCAATCGCAAACCGAGCAGTCAAAGAAGAAAGGATTCGGGAATTGCAGTCGGTTCTCAGTTCCATGGCTGCAGAATTGAACTCAAGCTTATCATTATATGGTTGTGTTTTTGTTTTCGCATTGCTTGCAGTTCCATTGGAGTCGGCAGCTCAAGCTTTCAGGAGAGATCCGGGACACCCTCACTGGCATCACGGAGCCTTCCATACCGTCCGTGATAGTGTTCGACATGATGTTCGTCGCATGCTTCATTCACGAGCTGAGGTATTTCTCTTGCTGTATATTCTTCCATACCATGATTCCGCATCCTTGATTCCGTAATCGTTTACTCGAATGAAATGCAGTGGCTATGATTAGATTATCTTTGTCGCGCTCGCTAATGCTCCCGTTTGGGATTTGAACGACGTTAGAATGATTAGGAGGAATAGAGAGTTTCAGATTTGCGCGTTATGTGCTCTCTCTCTTCTTTCCTCCTCAATGTTTTCGATTGAAGGCATTATTTGCTGTCTATCAAACTCGAGTACGTACAATCTTTGGCTATCATGGAGGAATGCTGTTCATGGAATCAAGATAAGGACTCACATTTGAATCCATTTGTCGAATTGTGGGAAGGTTGTCCTCGTTGATAGGTCTGCATTGTTGTTATCCTTTGTAAGGGAGTAGCAGTGACCTTGATCATCTTTTGTGATCTTATGATTATGCTTCGGTAGTCTGGACTTGTTTATTTTAGTCCTTTGACATCAGCATGGATTGACCTATACCTCTTAGTGAGTTTCGACGTGTGACTTGTAATTTTTCGTTAACTTTTTATTGCTAGTTGCCTTGGTTCTTCATAACTCGTGAACTATGAAATATTATGATGCATATTACCCATTTACAAAAATAACTAAAAAATTAGAACATGTTTTATTATGATTGACAATCTCATTTCAATGTATAGGTTCTCTACTGCTCATGTAGAAACTAATAAAAGCATTACACAGGTTCCCTTTCAGGTTCCACTTGAAGTGAACATTATCCTTATTGGTTTAAATGGCGATGGAGCCTACCGGTACTTCGTAGATTCACACAAGCTACAAGAGTTTCTGAGAGACTGCTTCCCGTCTCATAGGCCATCATGTCTTGAGACTGGCGAGCCCATTGACATTGAACATCATATCATATATAATGCATTTCCTGTAAGTTTCATTTTTATTTTGTTAAGTAACTCACATTCTTACAAGACTTTGATTTATATTTATTAGACTATAGCTCCCTTTGCACTTGACTTCATGTTTTTGAACTGATAACTTCCCGAAAGTTATATCTTTATTTTTATTGATTAAATACAAGCATGCTTGGTAAGTCATACTTCAATTGTAACATATTTCCTCTTTTAGGGTCTTTTCCCTATCCATTCCTAGCCCAGTAATCCCAATAGTAAGGCCTTCAAAATCTTTAGAAATATAGAATTTATTTATCTGTTACATATATATAGCATGGTCTGCCAAAATCAGCATATGTTAGGTATCACTAGAGTGCCTTCTATGCCTAGATAGACCATGAACTAGATCTGAATCATTCTTAACGTATCCATAAGTAGTGATCGATTTTCTTTCATCATCTGGGTAGAGATCAAAGTTCTTGAACAACTGATGATAGGAATACCAGTTATAGTGCCTGTTATCCAAAGAGGAATCCTTTCCGTGGCTATTTTCCCACTTCCATTTTCCTCCGCTTTTCATCAAGTGGTTGCCATAGAGATAGAAATAGTCATAGATAATTATGTGATGATATACTTCTAAATGGGATAAGATAATTCATACTCAAATGGAGGAGGTCATAGAGAAACTCTTTTTATTTCCTTCTTTTGAACTTAGTGAAGAACCTCATCTCCTTTGTTAAGGACAAAGTGGGAATTCATTGAGAAAAATGAAAGAGATACAAGTCCGTACAATAAACAACTCAACAAAAAACAAAAGGTTGAGAGGGAGTCGAAAAATAACTGTAGAACTCCAATCCAACCAAATCAAACTAGGATTATAATTACAAAAGAGCCTATCAATTGACGCCCACAAGGAGACATTAAAACTAGCCCCCTTCATAACCCCCTCACACGATTTTTCCGCCTCTCTAAACATCCTGTTATTCTCTCAAAATCTAGACACCCCAAACAATTGCAAAAAAACTAGTTCGCCACTTCACTTTGCTTTTCTCTCAAAAGGCATAAATAAATCTGCTTGCACTCATCAATTTGAAATGATACTTTTCATTAATGAATATTGTATTTTTGTACAAAAAGCTCTTTAGTTTAGCTACTATATTTTGCACTGCAACAGGCAGGTCAGGCTGAATTGATAGCTCTTGAGAAAGCGCTGAAGGAGACCATGATTCCTGCTGGAACTGCAAGAGAGGTGCAAATAAAGCTTTGTGCTGCTATTTTCTTCTTCTTCCTCCTCTTTTTTTTTTTTTTTCTTTTTTTAATATCTTTTTTATGTAGTTTTGGGGAAGTTTGTTAACATTTATTTTTGTACACATACATTTCCAGACTGATTTTGGAAGGGATGTTCCTTTGTTTGAGGTTGAAGCCACAGCCGTTGAACCCGTGTTTCAGAAGTTATATTCCTATATATTTGACACGGAGAATGAGGGATATGCTACTGCTGAGAGGGATAGACTAATGCCAATTGCCATATTTCTTGTCAACTTTGATAAGGTTTGGTGACTTTCTCTGCATCAAAACTTTCAATACAAATTTTAGGTGACTTTGTCTCCTTGAGAAAGAATAAAATTTTCAATAAATTTTACATTTAATATTCTTGTCTCTGTCAGATGAAGTGCTTTTTTCTTTCTTTTTGTTTTCCTTTGTTGTCTCATGGAACATCCTTTTCATTTGTTTGTGAAGATCTACCGTCCTTAAAATTTTTCTTTCTACTGTCATCCTTTGTTGCTTTAGTTTCATTTTGTGTTTTACCGTCTCTTTACCAGGTCAGAATGGACCCCAGACATAAAGAAATCGATCTTGATAGTTTAATGCATGGGAAACTTGACCAGCTAAATGATGAAGATATGAAAAAACAAGAAGGAGATTACATTTATCGTTATCGATATGATGGAGGAGGAGCTACTCAAGTTTGGCTGGGCTCTGGCAGGTATTGTTTGAAAGTTCCCTGATTTGGATAACTATGGTTTGTTTTTGATATATTTGGGGAGTCTTGCTGTTTCTATGTGGTTTCATTGCAAATTGTAATAAATTAATTATCAAGTTTAATTTTATTTATGTTTTTTTAGTGGTTAAGAACTATCATTAAACACAGACAAGCTTAGTGGAAGTTACTAAGTTGTGGTTGTTGATGGTATTCACATGCTTTCAGTGATTGATGTTAATAGTGGAGCTAAGTGTAGTGCTTATATACAATTTTATTTCTCAAGTGGTTGAATCCATATCATTAGACCCTACTGTGATCACTGCCACTGGTATCGTAATGATGGCTGATCAATGTGGTGGTAGGTTCAGCTTATCTTTGAGCCCGACCAGTGCAATTGTTTTTTATTTCTTTGATGATGGAATGTGCATACGTTAATTTTTTCTTTGTTGTTCAACATTGTGACTAGAGCTCTCTTATGTTATTACAGTTCTTTTAGGGTCTAACTTTCTGTGTTATATTCAGATATGCTGTGATTGATCTCTCAGCTGGCCCATGCACATATGGAAAAATTGAAACTGAAGAAGGAAGCGTCAGTTCTAGAACTCTACCACGATTGAGGAACGTGCTATTTCCAAGAGGATTTGGTGCAGCTACTGATCATTCTACCCATGATAATTTTTTGGGGCAACTTGCTGCCCTAGTATCAACCACTATTGAACATGTCATTGCCCCTGATGTCAGGTTCTCTCATTTCATCCATTTCATTTTATGTTTCCTAGTCTATTAGTTTTGTTGCCTGCATACTGCAGAAGGCTAGACCCTAGAGAAGAACTGGCTCACATGGAGTAGGAGTACTGATGGAACTTGATGAATAGTGTCTTATCCTTATCTATTCCTTGTGTGTAGGTTTGAAACTGTCGATATGATGACAAGGTTGCTTATACCCATAATTGTCTTGCAAAATCATAATCGATACAATATTATGGAGAAAGGCCACAATTACAGTATAAATGTTGAAGCAATTGAGGCAGAGGTAAGACCCTTGCATTGAATATGGTATAAAGTTCCACGAATGATGATGCTAAAACTTTTATTTATCTGAGTTAAATGGTTACAAAGTTATTCATTGTACTACTACGGAATGTTAACATCCTCTACATTTGGGTTTATGGTTTGATATAGAACACAAACCTCTTCATGTAAGTGTTTCACGTTATTTCAGGTTAAAAAGATGGTTCATGCTGGGCAAGAAGTAGTGATAATTGGTGGTGCACATTTATTACATCGTCATGAAAAGCTGGCCATAGCTGTTTCAAAAGCAATGCGAAGCCATTCCCTACAGGAAACAAAGAATGATGGTCGTTTTCATGTTCATACCAAGACGTATTTGGATGGAGCTATCCTTAGAGAAGTAATTGTTGTCGTTTTATCAATACAGAACTTGACCATTTTGTTTACCTGATATTGATATTGTTCAGGGAATTCAATCTACTATATGGTTTACATGGACTAGTTAAGTAGCTTCCATGTAACAGCGTGACCATTGGACATTTTTAGCATTCTCGTTGATGCTATTCAGTGAATAATTGGTAAATTTGTTTCAGGAAATGGAAAGGTCCGCTGATGTGCTTGCTGCAGGTTTGCTTGAGGTGGCTGATCCATCTTTATCTGATAAATTTTTCCTTCGCCAGGTTAGCATAAAGGTTTGTTGTTAGCATATTGTGTGGATTGAAATATTTCACCAGTGAACTTAAGTTTAATGATCTATATTTGGCGTCTAACAGCACTGGATGGATGAAAGTGATGTTTCAATTGATTCAGTACTGAAACACAAACCTCACTGGGCTACATATCAAGCAAAATTTAGCAAGAAGGTGAAGAAAACCGAAAAAAAGCCGGGGGATTTGCATCGAACTTATGGAACTAGGATACTTCCAGTGTAAGCAACTCAAACTCAGGTTATAAAAGAGGGTTTTGAGAGGGAGAACGGGAGAAGTGTAAGGATTAAAATCAGCTCTTAAGAGATCGGCATAATATTTGGTATTTTCTTATTTTTATTACCCAAGTACACTTTTTTTTTTCTATTTAAAGGTAATCCTTTTATCCTAACGTCTGCTCTCATGCTTGAAATAGATATAAATAGAAATGAAAAAGAAAAGACAAAACATACTTCTGGTTTCTTGGGTATAAGTTGGTGTTAACTTGAAACATCATGTTGGTGCATTTTTAAATTATTTAATCTTGATGACTTGAATATTTTACTATTTTGACATTTAATAGTCATTAAGAACCAAGTTAATGCCATCGTTTCCTTTTTTTCAGTTTTATCCTATCATTGGCTGACGTTGATTCAAAACTCATGATGGAAGATGACAGCCTAGTTTATGCAAGCAAAGATGTTGTCATCGTACTCGAGCATCAAAATGAGAAGATACCTTTGAGGTGAGTGAAAACTTACATCATTGATGAATGCAAGTAAATCCACAATCGTCTTATTAGTTTACAGAGTGAAATCATTTACACAAACCTTCCTGTAGATATTCTTGTGAATTCCTGTTTGAACTGCAAGTAAATCCACAATCTCATCAATTCTCATCAATGAGTTTCATCTTTCTTGACAAAACATTTGAATTCTTAACTAAATTTCAAAAACAAAAACAAAAACAGTATGCTGAGCCCCGTATAAACAGTTAGTTTGGTGCTTCATCGATCCTCAACCAACTTCTCTAGCTGTGTAGTATTAGCATGCCGTTTGTGAAGTAGGGAACTTGGTGAGTTCTCTTTCCTTTTTTTACGACAGTTTACTCATTTTCAATATAGCTCAAGTTTGTTTTTTGGTGTAGATATGTTTCCGAAACACACAGAAGATATGCCGATCCATCGCAGGCACAACGTCATATATTGGCTGGGCTTGCTTCAGCTGTTGGTGGTTTGACTGCACCTTATGAGAGAGCTTCTCATGTTCATGAGAGAGCAGTTGTAAATTGGCTCTGGGCAGCTGGTTGTCATCCATTTGGGCCATTCTCAAACACGTCTCAAGTCAGTCAAATGCTACAAGATGTTGCATTGGTAAGGACAACTTATGTATCACCAAAATCCTAGGGCCCTTAAGGCCATCGAACATGATTGGCGTTTGAGAGATAGTTGCCCTGCCTTATCTGATTTATTGGTATCATTGCAATTTGCTGAATCATGTTTCCCGTTTTCGACCTCCTTCCCCGACAGAGGAACATAATATATGCACGTGTAGATTCAGCTCTTCACCGAGTCCGAGATACATCAGAGGTAACTTAATTTACATCTGACATTCTAATCTTGGATGAGTTCAGTTTGATCATTGTTTATTTGGTGTCAGGCTGTCCAATCCTTTGCAGCAGAACATCTGAAAACTCCACTTGGCGAGCCGGTAAAAGGAAAGAAGAACAAGACAACAACCGATCTATGGTTGGAGAAGTTCTTTAAAAGAACCACCAACTTGCCCGAACCATTTCCCCACGAATTAGTCGAACGGCTCGAGAAATACTTGGATGTAAGTCGCTTAACATGTCGATGATACTACTTTCAGTAACCAAAAGCTCTTCACATTATAACCGATTCATAAAACAGAACCTCGAGGAACAGCTCGTGGATCTGTCGTCGCTATTATACGACCATCATTTACAAGATGCAGATTTGAACAGTTCGGAAATATTCCAGAGCTCCATTTTTACACAGCAGTAAGCTACAATGGTCTTTAGAGTTTTGTTGAATTGTAGCATGTAGGCTTCATAATAATATGATGTGTGTGGATGGTGTAGGTACGTGGATTATGTGTTGATCGAAGAGAGAGAGAAGATGAAGTGCTGCAGCATTCAGTATAAATACCCAGTGGAGTCGTCTCAGAATTTCATGTATGGAGGAATTCTTCTAGCTGGGTTTGTAGTTTACTTTCTTGTCATCTTCTATTCATCACCGGCCCACTAACTAAAACTATTTATAATATTTAAACACGTTTCTCAACCAATAAGAATTTAGATAAT